ACCCTGAATGAGCCCGCTAAGCAAGTGAGAGTAGAAAAGAAGATCTATTTGGATGTCAATATTGACATAAAATGAAGTATTTGTCCTGACTGAGCGTTGCCATGCTCAGTCTGAGTAACAGAATGTAGGCAAACGGAATTCTAAAACAGATGAGCATCACTGACAGCTTGATTAGATAATCGAATCAGCTGCAGCCGCGCCTTGATGTTTCTCACCCCTCTCATCCCGTGAATGCCCCACCCACCTGGCCTCCCAGTCTCCAGATCGTTCCAGAGCAGAATGTCCATACAATGCATATCTCCACTTTTTTCTAAAAGTCTTTCGCTTACGCAGGTTCTCCTTCCGAAACTGCCATGCCTCAGGGTCGGGGGGAGGGCTTGTTACCAGACAGACCTGTGGATCTCCGGGGATTGAGGGTTGCAGGGATGCTGCCGTCTCCACAGCACAATGTGAGAACCCCAGCACTGAGTGGTTTTCAGTGTTAAAGTGCATTGAGTTCATCATCTATTTGGCCAGGACAACTCCTAAGTTCTTAGATTGTCCCAAATAGTTCCCGTGACGTGAAAGGAGAAGAGCAGGTTCTGAGAGGTGGAGCCGGGGAAACTTGGCTGAGCCTCCCGGAAAGGGGGCGTGAAGCTCCGCCCCTTCCGCTGCCAGGCCCCGCACTAAGGCTACTTAAAGCCGCCCAGGCCGGCCCGGGCGCAGATCTTCGCAGAGTCAAGCGGCGGCCGCAGCGCTTCGCAGGCTCTCCGTGGACTTGGAGCTTACAGCGTCTTCTGACCTGGAAGCGGCCTCGGAGGACGGGACAGAACACTTGGATAAGTGAATCTCTGTCTGTCTGTCTCACGAGTTGATTCCCATTTTCTTAAGGAGCACGTACCACACGCACCCCCACACAGACACATACAGGCACACACACATTCTTGCGCCGGCGCCGGCGCGCCAGTGCACGCACGCACAGACACACGCACGCACACACACACGCACACACACGACGCTACATTGTAGGGGTCAGAAAATTGGTAGCGCGCCCTGGTAGCTGCAGGTTTCCTAATCATGTCTGCATCAAAGAACACTGGGGTCTCATCTGGCTCCTCCTATGAGCGGTCCCACAGCCTGGCCTCCTCAAGATCCATGCCAGCCACACACGGGTTCTCCCTCTCCCCTGCCAGAAACTCAGACCCAAGGGGTAGCTCCTCACCAGGGATGTGGAGGTGCTCTTCACCATCCCTTGAAACTTCAGCACGCTCCCATCCGTCATCAGCAGAATATCACCATTTTACATTTCCTTTTCCTAAGCCAGAGGGACAATCCCTTCTGCCATTGCGCTCTCCCATGTCCTCCTCTGGAGATTCTTCACAGTCACCCTGTTCAACAATATACCATATGTTCTTCCTGCCATCACCCAGCAGCTCACCCCCAGCCCTCAGGGACCCTCCTGTCTGTCCCAGCTACTCTCCCAGCACACCGAGATCTCCGCGAGAGTCAGCCTCCCACACCCCAGAATCACCTACAAACTTGCAGACCTCAGTGAGATCCTCCCTAGTCTCTGTCTTGTCTTCACCCCCAGTGCTCAGGCACCCTGGTGTCTCAGTTAGTTACCCTCCAGCCATCTCTAGATTTCAGCTGGAGTCAGTTCCAGGCACCGAGGGCTCACCACCGGACTCACCAGTTTCACTGAGTTACTCCACAGTCTCTCTCACGTCTTTATCCGCACACCACAGGGACTCTTCTGTCTCTCTCAGCTGCCGTCCAGCCATCTCTGAATTTCAGCCGGAGTCAGTTCCAGCCACCCAGGGCTCACCACCAGATTCACCAGTTTCACTGAATTACTCCACAGTCTCTCCCACTTCTTTATCCCCAGACAACAGGGACGCTTCTGTCTCTCCTGGCTGCACACCAACCCTCTCTAGATTTCAGCTGGAGTGCGTTCCAGGCACTCAGGAATCACCACCAAACTCACCAATTTCTCTGAATTACTCCCCAATCTCTCTCACTTCTTTATCCCCAGACAAGGGGGACGCTTCTGTCTCTCCTGGCTGCACTCCAACCCTCTCTAGATTTCAGCTGGAGTCTGTTCCAGGCACCGAGGGCTCACCACCAGACTCACCAGTTTCACTGAGTTACTCCACAGTCTCTCTCACGTCTTTATCCCCAGACCACAGGGACTCTTCTGTCTCTCTCAGCTGCCGTCCAACCATCTCTGAATTTCA